AGCAATAAAAACATTAATCTGGCATTGCCTTGAATTAGAAGGAATAGTTTATGTAAGTAACGCTTTTTAAATGATCTCAGTAGAAAAGGCAATTATTCAAGTAATGGAATGAATATAATTGTTGAATATAGTGTAAAAAATAAGTTATTGGAACAAATTCAAACTTTTTTCGCCATTTGGTACCTATAAAATTGTTTAGATAAAGAAAAACATTTAAATAAAGAGGTTAAATCCACAGGGTGAAGACAAGTTTGAAAGCTGAGTTTAACATAGAAGCTATATAGATTCTCTGGAAAAAAGTGGAGCCAGACAGTTAGACGTTTTGTATATATTTACGGTGAACGAAGAATGAATAAGCTTTAACCTGAACTCACCCCGATCTACGCGAAGAGCCAGCTCCGGGAGTGGACAGATTTTGGAGATGTCAACCTCACGCTCAATTCGATGACAAGGAGCGAGAACATCAGGCATCGCTATAATATCAAGTCCGGCACGTAAAATGGAATCATCATTACTGCCAACTTTGGAAGATTGAAAAGAACGGTGACCAGATTCAACGTCATAGCCTGATGTGACGCATGGCGAAAAGAGGTGATTCAGCCAACGCATCAGGCCCGATTGGCTGGCCCTAGAAAGAAGAGAGTTGGCGTCCGCGTAGAACAAATTTCCACCTTTGATTCCAGCAACTCGATTATGCATATTGATGCCATAGCCAGGAATAGGTACTGATAAATTTGAGGATTTATCCGATTTATTGGCCTGACATTCAGGGACGAAGGAGTCATCAGAAGTTTTAACACTACTTCCTGATTTAGTAGTGACCAAAGTCAAATCTCCACAATTCCTCTTATGTGTGGGCGAGTGCGGAGGGAAATCGCAAGAAGCAAGGGAACCTATGATAAGAATGAAAAAGCTCACAATGATAGTTAGATAGAAAGAAGATCGTAGATTATAAGACTATCCACATTTAGTAAAGCAGCAACGTTGCGAATAAATATATACCGTTCTGAAATCATATATAAAGCATATATGCCTGTAAGGAATAAAATACTTTAAAACAAGACAATAAAAATCTGCTTGTATACACATATCAAAGGAATTCACCTCTAATTAAAATAGGAGAGCGAATTAGCTCAGGACGAATAAAATCATTTTCTATGAGACGCCCATAAGCCCAATCTTTCGTTTGGTCTGTAGAAGACAATGAGAAAATGCGTTTAGAAGTATCTGGAATCGCATAAGGGG